AATCCTAAGATTGAATAATTGAATCCTAGATTGAATCATTGAATCCTAAGATTGAATCATTGAATCCTAGATTGAATCATGGAATCCTAGATTGAATCATTGAATCCTAAGATTGAATAATTGAATCCTAAGATTGAATAATTGAATCCTACATTGAATCCTAAGATTGAATCATTGAATCCTAGATTGAATCATTGAATCCTAAGATTGAATCATTGAATCCTAGATTGAATCATGGAATCCTAGATTGAATCGTTGAATCCTAAGATTGAATCATTGAATCCTAAGATTGAATCATTGAATCCTAAGATTGAATCCTAGATTGAATCATTGAATCCTAAGATTGAATCATTGAATCCTAGACTGAATCATTATATTCTAAGATTGAATCATTGAATCCTAAGATTGAATCATTGAATCCCAGACTGAATCATTATATCCTAAGATTGAATCATTGTATCCTAAGATTGAATCATTGAATCCTAAGATTGAATCATTGAATCCTAAGATTGAATAATTGAATCCTACATTGAATCCTAAGATTGAATAATTGAATCCTAGATTGAATCATTGAATCCTAAGATTGAATCATTGAATCCTAGATTGAATCATGGAATCCTAGATTGAATCATTGAATCCTAAGATTGAATAATTGAATCCTAAGATTGAATAATTGAATCCTACATTGAATCCTAAGATTGAATCATTGAATCCTAGATTGAATCATTGAATCCTAAGATTGAATCATTGAATCCTAGATTGAATCATGGAATCCTAGATTGAATCGTTGAATCCTAAGATTGAATCATTGAATCCTAAGATTGAATCATTGAATCCTAAGATTGAATCCTAGATTGAATCATTGAATCCTAAGATTGAATCATTGAATCCTAGACTGAATCATTATATTCTAAGATTGAATCATTGAATCCTAAGATTGAATCATTGAATCCCAGACTGAATCATTATATCCTAAGATTGAATCATTGTATCCTAAGATTGAATCATTGAATCCTAAGATTGAATCATTGAATCCTAAGATTGAATAATTGAATCCTACATTGAATCCTAAGATTGAATAATTGAATCCTAGATTGAATCATTGAATCCTAAGATTGAATCATTGAATCCTAGATTGAATCATGGAATCCTAGATTGAATCGTTGAATCCTAAGATTGAATCATTGAATCCTAAGATTGAATCATTGAATCCTAAGATTGAATCCTAGATTGAATCATTGAATCCTAAGATTGAATCATTGAATCCTAGACTGAATCATTATATTCTAAGATTGAATCATTGAATCCTAAGATTGAATCATTGAATCCCAGACTGAATCATTATATCCTAAGATTGAATCATTGTATCCTAAGATTGAATCATTGAATCCTAAGATTGAATCATTGAATCCTAAGATTGAATAATTGAATCCTAAGATTGAATAATTGAATCCTAGATTGAATCATTGAATCCTAAGATTGAATCATTGAATCCTAGATTGAATCATTGAATCCTAAGATTGAATCATTGAATCCTAAGATTGAATCATTGAATGTATGTATAGTTTAAAGGTGTTTTTTTCCTCGTGATGCGCTGACACTTACATTTCGTATCATTGAACGTCAACCCATTGAGTGTGGCCCAAGAGTTGAGGTTGTCGATGTCGCTTTGAAGATTAACGCTATCTTGTTGACTTTCAACTCTCTTCAGGACTTTCGTGTCAACAGCGACGCAAGCCACTTTTGATGACAACACAGCTTTGGGTATCGTTCACATGTAAGAGAAAAAGTACTGGCCATAGGATCGAGCCCTGGGGAACTCCCGACGTTACCACACGTTCTTGAGATGTTGCACCAAGTACTGTCACTCGTTGTTTTCGGCCACTCAGATAACACACCAGCTCAGCAAACTCCCGGAGATGTTAAATTGCCGCAATCTGGAAATGATGAGCGAATGTTGAAGTTTGCAGGCCAGAATCCAGCAACGAGCCAATGCAGTTGAGAACTTCGACCGACTGGGTGACGCAGGATCTGCCGGGAATAAAGCCATGTTGCGCCATGTTTCTTTCAAAAGTCTTCCAGAGATCTCGTCAGGTCCAGTTGTTTTAGTAACATCAAGTGAACGAAGGGCGGCGACTACTGCGCAAGGAGAGAGAGAAATTTTGGAAAATTCCGGCCCGCTGGTAGGTGGTAATTGTGGGCGAGGTTCGACTGTATCACTGGAGAATATGAATGTAAAGTGATTGCTTCGGCAATCTCAACCGGGCTGGAAACTAATTTCCGAACAGGTTTACCGGTGTCCGTATCATGGATAGTTGATGGTATTGAGTGTGTCAATAGTATTGACACTTTCTGAGGAACACTGCTCGCTTTATTGGAGAGTTTGAAGGCAGACCAGAATCTTTTCGGATTTGACTAAATATCTTGTTCCAGCGACTCAAAGTATTAAACCAAAACGTTCACAAGTACTAGTTAAAACATGAGCAGCCGATATTTATCTGATATACAAACTCGAGCCGAAGGCGAGAGTTTGTATATTATATAAAGATCGGCTGCGAATGACCCATCTTATGAGTTCATTGGCGAAGTAATTTTCAAAATAAACATTGCATGTCTAAGCCAAGAAAATCAATGCTGAAGTTTATGTAAATCAGGACAAATCTTTATCCGATTTACAAACATTGATTAAACATTCATTTCTGTTGTATTTTCCTCATGAATTATTGATGAGTTTTTAATTGTATATAATTAGAATTGTATATATTTGTCATTTCTAATTTAACCATACTGAGTTATTGATATTTTCCTGACATATTTATGTAAAAACCATTACCAGCCGACAATTTAAAAAATATAGTACAAAATATAATCCGAAGATTAGCATCTTGAAACCCAAAATACGAGTCAAATAAGAAAGTGATAATATTTCGATTTTATTACAAATATATACATGGTCTATAGTTACAATATATACATGGTCTTATATACAAGTTGGCAAGGCATGATGATATCATCAAACGGAAGACTAAGTCTCAATCAGAATCACGACAGGTGCAGTGAGGATTTAATTAGATCCGAAACAATAAGTTTTTCAAATTCCGAAAGAATGATGTTAGCTAGCACAGGCCTCAGTGCAGACCCCATAAAAAGGCCATCAGTATAATAAAAAAGCTGATTATTAAATGAGAACGCGGTTTTAGTACAGGAATCAAGAATTAGTTTTTTCAAAGTCCGTTTCAAACGAGTTGCATAGCAACCAATTTTTCTTCAAAAACGCGGTTAAGAACGATTTTGATAGTTTTGGTTAGCGGAACGTTTGTGAATAGTGAAACAACGTCAAACGAAACAAGGCGATAACCTTCTGAGAAAAGCTCTTTAGGTATAGATTTTATTTCCGAAACCGCATGAAATCAATCACGAAGAGTGTACTCGTTTTGGGCTAATGGATTTAATAACTTAGCGTCTGTTAGCGTGAAATTTACCAACGTTATAGTGTGGTGTTCCAGTTGTGTCAATAATAGGTCTGAACGGTGGCAAGTCGTTGTAATGTTTGTGGACTTTGGGAAGCCCATGTGCTCTACCGAAGTGTGCTGCTTTAGGTCTAAGGAAGTCATAGTCAGATTGAGAAATTTCACCACATTGTAAAAGAGTGCATAAGAAGGACTGTAGAGAGTTTAGTCGAGTAAGTGTTATTCCAAGTTATTTTTGTTTTACATTTTATTCACTTTTAAAGGAGTATTTTTAATAAAACTTTTACAAAACATGTGTTCGTTATTTTTTCGTTTAAAAAAGCGCTAGACTATATCGCTGAGCCCGTTTCTACAACATAACCGCTGACTACTCAGTCCCAGTCTCTAAAGCTGTTTCTTAATTGTTTTCTCACACGGCTACACTCTCCCCTCCTTCTTGAATGTCGTCTCTGACATTTTAGATCCGTATCTTCTTAACGCATCCGTTCCAAGTTATAAGTATCCTTCACAATTCAGACACTCGAGTTGGTTGATCAGGCCAGCTCACTAACCGAAACGTAATCTCTCTCTTCAAGACACTATAGATCCTAAATACGTAAGTTACCTTACTTTAGCTAATTTGTATCAAGTACAATGAAATCCTAAGTGAAGCAAATGTGTTTTTTTTTAAATTATAAATATGAACGTTTAATATGTTTACTTGTTCCTCTTTGTCTTCTAATACGTTGGGTAGTAACCAAAAGGCGGTGGTGATATCATAGGGTTCATAACTTGTGCGTGGAACATGGGATTCTGTATTGGACTCATCCACGGTACTGATATCATCGGAGGTTGTATCGGTCCAATCCAAGGTGGGTCAAACCATGGATCTCGTATTTGAACTAATCCCACGTTAGGGTCTTGCCAAATGAAAGGAAATTCACCCGTAGGACAACCAGGTGCATTGTACCCAAAACGTAACGGTGGCTGTCTTTGCCTTTGTGGACGAACCGGTTGCGGCGGTGTTTCTTCGATATCACCCGGCGTTTCCATCCTTTCTTCTTCTTGTATGTTCAGCCTGTTCGCGTCATTTTCATTACCATGTACTTCCCCACTCTGGTTAATATCGCCATTTGTACTTGGGTCCACTGTCGCGTCGTTTACCGACTCTGATCGTAAGCTTAATTATACAAGTTCGTTCATTTCGTTTGGAGGCGGCGACAGTCCCTCCTCCCCCTCCGAATCGGATTCTGAATCCTCTGCGGTGTGTATAATCGGGGTCTGTTCTTTCACTTTCTCTACCAGCTTTGTCTCTGGCGTTGCTGTCGGTAAATAATCACAAGGTAACAGTAAATTTCTGTGCAACGTGCGTGTCTTTCCCTTTCCTGATTCGGGTTTGATATCATAAACAGGACTCTCGGGATTCTTACTCGATACCACTACGTGAATCTCTTCTTCCCAGAACGTTCGTATTTTGCCTGGACCTCCGCGTGGTGATAGGTTCCGAACAAGCACTCGGTCACCAGGTAAGAGGACAGTCGACCTTACGCGTTTATCGCTCTGCTTCCTTCACTTAGACGCCGCTTTCTCCGCAGACTTGGATGCTAACATGTAAGCTGCCTGCATTGCTTTCTTCCATTTATTGGCATAAGCTGGATAACCGATTGATTCTTATTTTCTTGTTAAGTTAAACATCAAATCAACGGGAAGACGAGGCGGTCTACCGAATAGTAGCAAGAACGGGGAGAAGCCAGTAGATTCATGCTTCGTACAATTATACGCGTGTATTAGTTTGTTCACATGATCCTTCCAATTAGACTTGTACACTTCGGGTAACGTTCGCAACATGTGTAGCAAAGTCCTGTTCATCCGCTCCACCTGGCCATTTCCCTGTGAATGATAGGGTGTCGTTCTTGAATGTGCGATTCCCGAGAGCTGCTCTAGTCTACGAAACAGTTTATTTTCAAACTCCCCTCCCTGGTGAAATGAAATCATTGTAAATTTTATCGGCTGCCGTGGCCGCGGTCTTGTTCCGTGTTGGATACGCTTGTGTATATCTGGTAAAGTGGTCGACAATGACCAAGATATACTCGAACCCTCCCGAACTTCGCTCTAAATGGACAAAATCAATTGATACCAGTTCGAATGGTACAGACGTAGAAATGGACTGAAGTGGTTCTCTGTTGGTAAAGGTGGGTTTTCTCTGTTTAACACAACTACAGACGTGCGTGATAAAATGTTCAATATCGTTCTTCATTCCAGGCCAATAGAACCGTTCCCTTGCGAAGTTGAAAACGCGTTCTGGACCAAGATGTCCCATTTTCTCGTGTAGTTCTCGAAATAATAAGGATCTATAATTCGTTGGTAGTACAAGTTGCTGGCCTCGATACAAAATACCCGTCTTCCTGTCGATCATGAGATTATGCCACTTCCGGAGGTATTTTTTTAGTTCAGGGGTTTCTTGTTGCCTTTCCCCGAGAGTTGGTTTCTTTCGTGACCGTACATACCACTGAACGCGATTTGTCGTTGGGTCTTCTTGTTGCGCTCTAGCGATCTCTGTCTGATTGAACTGGATGGTGTTTTCTCGCTCTGGCAAGAATAGTTTGTCTTTCTCGAAGGCGTCCGGCTGATCTGTGACTGATGTAATCCAGGGGGAATCACCATTGCTGACGGAAGAAATCTGAGAAACTGCTGCGTTGAACTCCGGATTTGAAACCGTTTCAGAACAAGAGTCCATGAATCTTTCGAAGTCCGCAGGAATTCTGGACAGGCTATCCGCGTCGATGTTTACTTTTCCCGGTCTATATTTGATCTCAAAATTAAAGTCTGCAAGTTCCCCAACTCAACGCAAACCGGTCGCATTAAGTTTCGCTGTTGAGAGAATATAAGTCAGTGGGTTATTATCAGTATAGACTACGAAGGATGGTGCATAATATAAATAATCCCTGAATTGTTTGCTGACAGCCCACTTTAGAGCAAGAGACTCTAACTTCCCCGCATGTAAATGGTAGTTCTTCTCGGCTTGCGTTAATGTGCGTGATGCATATGCGATGACTCGGAGCGTTCCGCCTTGACGCGGATATAACACGGCTCCCAGTCCGTTCTGGGAAGCATCTGTATGAACAACGCATGGTGAACTGCAATCAGGGTACGCTAGAATCGGGGGTGAGGTGACGCAATCAATCAATGTATTTAATGCCGTCTGGTGTTTCATAGACCACTGAATAGGGTGGTTCGATGGCAGTTGACCATTTTTCCTGGAGTTCTGATTAGTGTTCACTTTCCCTCCCAACAGCTCATAGATGGGTTTAGCAATCTTCGAAAAATCTTTGATGTGACGTCGGTATACTCCTAACAACTCAATTACTCTTCGAACCTCTCCGGCAGTCCGCGGTATTTTGCTCTTTGACAGGATAACAGCTTCGGTTGCTTTTGGATCAATGTTATACCCCTTTTCTGACACTATTATCCCAAGAAACGATACTTGACGCTTGAATAACCTGCATTTTCCTGGCTTCAGTTTAACACCATGTTGTTGCAGTTTCTGCAGAACTAGACGTACGTGTTCAACATGCTCTTCGAATGATTTGGAAAATATAATAATATCGTCGAGATAGGGAATACATATCTGGTCACGTAAATCCCCTAAGCATCCTTCCATGAACCGCTGGAAACTAGCTGGCGCGTTCGTTAGTCCGAATGGGATGCGTACCCACTCGTAAAGCCCCCACGGCGTCACAAATGCTGTGAATGGTTGACTATCTGGGCTGACAAAGCCTTGATGATACGCTTTGCGTTGATCTAATGTACTGAACCAAGAGTTTCCCCCTAAGTTATCTAAGGTTTCTTGCATCCTGGGGATGGGGTGTCTGTCTTGAATGGTCTTTTTATTCAGTGCACGGTAGTCGACACATAGTCTCATGATTCCATCCTTCTTCCTGACGCACACCACGCTGCTAGAGTAAGGTGACTTCGATCGTCTGATAAAGTTTTTGTTAGTAGGTCTTCCAGATAGTGTTTCACTTCCGGGTAAAGTGGACGTGGAATGGACGCGTAATTTTTCTGAACCGGTTGTCTGTCCGTAAGATTTATCTCCATTTTCAAGTCCTTGATGCACCCAATGTCGTCATCGTCGATCGAAAAAGTATCTCGCTCCTCATACAACATTTTTTTACCAAAGTTTGCTGTTCGGGTGTGAGAGTACTTAAATCGACTTCCCGTATGAATTGTTCTTTCTCAGAATTTACAGCTGAATGGCAAGGGTCCTTAGTTTGACCATGGATTGTAAAATAACTGGATAGGAAACTTCCTGACGTCACAGTCTAAACCTAGTTGCAATCTGTGACGTCACGTGTATTGCCAAAGTTCTCAGCATTTTTGTTGTTTCGCTATATTTTCCGCTTTAAAAGAGTAATATTGAAGCATAAACTGGTCTAATTGTTTAAAACATGCCTAAGCCACGACAAAGTATTCAAGGTAAATGTTTTTCATCTTTGTTTTGTATTTTTTTACATTTGTAGCTACGAAATTGGCGTCGCCAATTTTTACGAAATTTGCGATACATTTTTCACTGTTTAGTGCTTGAAATATTTGCTAAAATTGACCGGGAATACTTAGAGATTTCATCGTAGAATGGCCTAGTTATATTTATTTGCTCTTTGACTAAAATGTTTAGCTGTATTATCGCTAAACATGCCGTTTTTGAGAATTCGGTTTGCAACTAGGTTTCAACGCCATCAGCCCATTGAAAACATTAGGTCACGTCAGCTAGTTTCCTATCCATGTATTTTATTATCCATGGTTTGACTAGTCCTCTGTTTCTCCATTCCAAAATTCATATCAGTTCTTTTCTCATCTACATTTTCCTTTAATATCACCTCAATTGGTGTAACAGAACGAAAAAGTTCAAGGCTTCCCAAAACAGTCCGTCCAGGTAGTACGATGTCATGCATTGTATCGTTTGTCACTTGCACTTGCATGATTGTGGATTTTCCCTTTTTCACAGATGTTAAGGTTTCATGAACTATTAATCTGGGGGGCCACTCTTGTTTTTCATCAGGTTCAAAAAGCACTGGTCTAGTATTCTCAATCGTTCCCGTATTTGCTCGACAGGGTACTGTTTTGGTAGCTTTCTTCGGTATTGTAATGTGACGTTTGGATATTTTCACTTGGCAAAACAACTCCCCATCATTTCTTTGGATAATGTTTATCAATTGCTCAGCATCTTTCACTCCAACATTACGACTTGACACTATATGGTGTGCCACTGATAAATTATCTGAGTAGTTTTCACCCTCTTGCAAAAACAGTTCAATAACATTGTACCCAATTATTGGTTGTTCCAACTGTTCGGGTGTTACTAAGAATGGTACTGTTATTTCTTTTTCATCTTCTCGGTTTAATCTAAATCTAGTTTCCACCCAGCCTTTATAAGGGATTGGTGTCCCATTTGCCGCTGTTAAATTCAAACCAGAACCCGCACCAAGCAATTCACTAATATCACGTATTTTCAAATCAGAAAAATTGTCCGACAGTACCTGTTCCGGGAAAATGGAGACCTGGGCTCCAGTGTCCCATAACGCTTCCATGTCAACATCATGTACAAGACACCGAACAGAGCATTTGCGACCAACAAGTTTAGCAATTGCAGCGTGTTTCTTTGGAGAAAGGTGACTTGCAAACATTTCTGTGTCCGAACTATCTCCCAGTCCTCTGAGAGTTTCATTGTTTTGATTTAATTGTTCCTTAATGGCGTTGCAAATTATTTGGTGTTCACTCCAATGTCTTTTTTGACATATTTTGAGCAATAATACACCAGTTTGCAGGTAGAACAACGTTTAAAGTTAGCGTGAACTTCCTCTTGGTTACAACCATTGCATCGGTGGGACTTATTCTGGTTTGACGCGGCTACTCCTAGTCTCTCAGGGGTAGCCTCCTCTCGTTTCCCGACTTGCAATATCGGGCAGTGTGGTTTCTTCCTCCACATTTGAAACAATGAGGACAATTAACTTGATTCTCTTCGTGGCATTTTTTACACAATGGAGGGTAATCACCTTGACGGCCATCATTTCTTCGGTTTTGACCAACACGACCCGTCATTAAGGTACTGGAAGGGGGGTGTCCTTGAGGGGAATCTTTCTGGTCTACTTTCGTCCGCAAGCTAGCCACCTCGGACTGAACTGTATTCAGTTCTGCCTGGATAGCTTTTAATGTGGCCAGTATCTCACCATCATGTGCATTTGGTGACTCTGCAGGTCTTGGTGGCGTTCCGGTTTCTACCTTTGAGACTTTTGGTGAGGGCTTTGCTCGGCCCACCTGGTTGAACTTCGTGGCTCTTTCTGATTCAGCAGCCATCGCAGAGCTCATTACTTCAATTAGCTCTTCATCAGCCACTGATTCGTTCTTAAGTAGTGGCCTCATTTTTGCCCGGATGGTTTCATCGGCAAGGCCAGTTTCTAGAGCATGCAAGAATATGCCTTGGACAAGCCCTTCATCATATTTGATCTTGGTATCCGATTCTATTGATGCAAACACTATTTTTTGCCGAATCGTCGGGCACGTATTAAAAATTCTTGTGGACTTTCTTTTGGGGCTTGACTGATATTAGCCAAGAGCTGGTAGAGCTCGGTAGCAGTTTTTTCTTGGAAATGAAAGCGTAGTATTTTACGTAATCGTGCTAATGTCAACCCATTAATTCCCTCCAAATAACTTCGTAGTTGTAACCCAGCCTGAACAGCTCTAACAACAGCATGGGTAATTTCCTCTTCTGTGTAACCCTTTTGCAGCCCAATTTCAATCTGTGAAATGAGTGACTGATATGCTAGTTTATCTTTATGTCCTGGCTCTCCGATTTGTCCTTGTATCATGAATTCCTGACGGAGCATACTTGTTTTCATGTTAAGAAATGCACTTTGTTGCTTGTCTTGTTGTGTTACTGATTCACGAGTTATCGTTATGTTCTCAGCTGTTTCATTTTGGGTTTGGACAGTATTTATTTGATCTTTGAGTTTTTCCTGCTTTACTAGTAACTTTTCATACTGTGTTTCGAGCTGTTTCAGTTCCTGTTCACTCTTCTCTCTTGCTTTCACACTTTCTTCATTTTTACTCATTGTTTTGCTGTCTAAAATAGTTTGTATTTTTCCCAATAGACTGTCAAGCTGCTCACTATTACACTTAAGTACTTCTTCTTCAAATACTGTACGTATAATTTTAATCAGTTCCAACCTACCCTTTTCTCCGATTTCTTCTACCTTTATCCATTTCATTTCTTCTCCAAATCAGGCTAATTCCATTCGTTTTAAGCCCAGCATACGAGACTGAAGCTCTATAATCAAATCCTCGGACATTTTTCAACAGTAGATCATCCAACTTCCCGTTGTAGAACTTGTATTAAACTTTTATATACATATATATCCAATATCCACAATTTGTTAATAACTCACGTATATAAAGTATCATAAATCTCGCAAATCTCGTGTATTTTCTCGTCCAGACATCGGTTTTTCTACATATTACCTTCCATGGTCTCGGTGGGACCTCCAAATATTACTCCGAGTTATTTTTGTTTTACATTTTATTCACTTTTAAAGGAGTATTTTTAATAAAACTTTTACAAAACATGTGTTCGTTAATTTTTCGTTTAAAAAAGCGCTAGACTATATCGCTGAGCCCGTTTCTACAACATAACCGCTGACTACTCAGTCCCAGTCTCTAAAGCTGTTTCTTAATTGTTTTCTCACAAGGCTACATAAGCGTTGGGTCAGTATCAAGTAACTTAAAACGTAAAGCGTTAGAGAAGAGAGATGTGACAGAGGAAAGATAATCACTGCGTTTCATGACAACAATGCCATTACCATTGATGTTACTTCCGTTTGATGATGTCATCATGCCTTGCCAACTTGTATATAAAACCATGTATATATTGTAACTATAGTTAGTCTGATGATGATTTGGTAATAAAATCGAAATATTACTCATTACTCACTTGTTTGACCCATATTTTGGGTTTCAAGATGCTAATCTTCGGATTATGTTTTGTACTATATATTTATGTAAATATGATATGTTATAATATCTACTATATATGAAAATGTCATACAGTAATCAGTGTGACAAGCAGTTTGAAAATTGAAAATTGAAAATTGAAAAATTTATATATGTGCAACGTCAACTGAGTTGGGCAATGTAAGTTGGGCAGCGTAAATATTGGGTATTCTATTATATGTATTTAAGAGCGAGTCTCTACAAAAATCAAACATACCGCGGCAAGGCTCAAAATTTTAAATTCGCTCTACTTTTGAATTTATGTTAACTATGACAAAATATGAAACGTCATATGGTTAGTTTTTAAAAATACTCTTTTGTTTATAAAAAAGGGCAAAAAAATATTTCAGCTGTGAGGACCGATTTTCGCAATCGAAAAATGGCCGAAATTGCGTATGTTTACTTAATCCTGGTATCCAAACCCTAAACCCAAATAGCCTTATTATATACTTTCTGCTAAAGATACATCACTCCCTCGTTTATTAAAAGTGGTTTTATGATAACTGAACAACTGAACAGATTTGTGCACAATAAAGAGCGACGGGTACTGGTCTTTAGTTTGTCATTGCGTGTAAAAAGTGACAGATTTCTCCATTTGCCATCCTTTCAAATCTTATGAGATTTTGCACAGGCACTATTGGAAAACTGCTCTTCTCAGAAATGTATAATTTATTTGGGGCAAATAAATTCACGCGCTACCAGAAAGAGTTAACTTTGGTTCATTAAATATGCAAAAATCACTGTTTGGCAATTGACCATTTGCGTAATAGACTAAAGTTTGATGTCAACAAGTCTAGACAAAAATTTCATCACAGCTTGAAAGAGCATCACAAAATTAGTAATATTCCAAAATTTCGTTGCGAAATGTTGTAAAATGCGGATAATATAGCCTTGCGAAATTTGTAATATTCAGTCATTTTAGATTACAAACGGGAAATTGACAGCCTCAAGCTGTCAATTTCCCGTTTGTAATCTAAAATGAGTGAAAATTGAAAACTTCGCAGGGCTATATTCATGGGCGTACCGGAAGGAAAAAATTAGGGGGGCGGAAAGAAAATTGCCCGACTTTTCGGGATTCTGCCAGACTACTGACAAAAAATTTTCTCCCGAAAAATTATTTTGGCGACCTCCCCCCCCCCCCCATCCCCCCGTCACCAAAAAAAATTCGGTCAGTGTACCATTTAAGGGGTCAAAAAAATTTTCCGCACAACCAATATTTTTCGGAACATAACACAAATTTTCGAAAAATCACAAAATTTCCCAAAGAATTTACTTAATTTTAGACAAAATTGACAGAATTTGTCCCATTTTTTTTATTGCAAACCAAAATTGCCCGACTGTTCATCGAATATTGCCCGACTGCCAAAAAAACTGGGGGGCGGTAGCCCCCCCCCCGCCCGGTACGCCTATGGCTATATTATCCGCATTTTACAACATTTCGCAACGAAATTTTGGAATATTACTGATTTTGTGATGCTCTTTCAAGCTGTGATGAAATTTTTGTTTAGATCAAAATTTAGTCTATTACGCGAATCGTCCGATTGCATGACTAAAAACCCCTTGAAATAAACTCGCTTAAAACATCATTGTTCTTCGCCTTTAGTTTAGAGAATTTGAAGAAACATAAATATACATACCTTGAATGAAAAAATTTTCTTTGAGCTGTTCCACTTTTGGAGTTTATACCAGGAATTTAATATTGTCGACCGTTCGGTTGTTTACATCTCCGCCTTATACATCGACTGAAAGTTCTTGGAATCCAATCTATCAGAAATCAGCTAACAACTCACACAACTTCCATTCGTGTTCCATTTACAATTATTAATATTCTTAGAAACAAAGAGTCAAAATTAATGTTGCAGAAATCTATTTTATTTTTATACTGACATATCGAAAAAGCTAAATGTTTACATTATAGGTGGCGGGCTTCCTGTCGATTTGGCGGAAGTAATGCCACTGCGATGTATTACTGTAATGTTGTCATTTCTTTTTTAATATTTTTTTTCTATTAAGTGGATTATTGCGAATTGAGTTTTTTTTTATTGCTGTAATTTACTTTTATTTACAATTATTAATATTCTTAGAAACAAACAGTCAAAGTTAATATTACAGAAATTCTATTTTATTTTTATACTGACATATTGAAAAAGCTATTTGTCACCAAATGTTTACATTATAGGTGGCGGGCTTCCTGTCGATTTGGCGAAAGTAATGCCACTGTGATGCATTACTTGTATTTTTACCTCCGCCAGGAGGTTATGTAATCATCTGGGTTTGTATGTGTGTGTGTGTGTGTATGTGTGTGTGTATGTGTATGTGTGTGTGTGTGTTTGTCTGTGAGCACGATAACTCAAGAAATACCAAACATATCCGTACGAAATTTTGTGAGTGCATTTCCCATCGGCTGAGGAAGAACTGATTAAAATTTGGTTGAATTTGGTTAAAAATTGAATGAGAAATAACAAAAGTTTGTCTTGCTTTTCCCGGTCAATTAAATAAAACTTTATACTGAATGCGTAATTAGGACGTGCATAATATATATGCACCAGCCATTCAAATTCTAATAACAATAGATTACTTCAATATTTTGCGCGTAGGCGGAGGTATGCAGTCTCTGAGTGCCCTCTAGTTACCTCCGCCAGGAGGTTATGTAATCATCTGGGTTTTTACCTCCGCCAGGAGGTTATGTAATCATCTGGGTTTGTATGTGTGTGTGTGTGTGTGTATGTGTGTGTGTATGTGTGTGTGTGTGTGTATGTGTGTGTGTGTGTGTATGTGTGTGTGTTTGTCTGTGAGCACGATAACTCAAGAAATACCAAACATATCCGTACGAAATTTTTTGAATGCATTTCCCATCGGCTAAGGAAGAACTGATTAAAATTTGGTTGAATTTGGTTAAAAATTGAACGAGAAATGAACAAAATTTTGTCTTGCTTTTCCCGGTCAATTAACAAAAAATATTACTGAATGCGTAATTAGGACATGTATAATTTATGCACTCAGTGCTAAGACAATAATGAGATGATAAACCTCATTAAGCTTCGGCCTTCATTATCTATTGTCTTAGTTGCATTTCACGCGACCGAAATTCAATGTCTAAAACAAGGCTTACGGAGTTACGCATTATTACGTTCAGCAAAGTGCCAGTCCATTCAAATTCTAACAACATTAGATTACTTCAATACAGGGTGTATAAAAAGAACGCAACCTCGGAATTTCCCAAGAAATCGACATTGTTTTAAAGACAAAAGATTTTAGCTGCCTTGGAATTTAAAATAGCACAACAGTGAAAATTACTGCACGCGCGAGTGCATAAAGCAAAATTTATGCATTTATTTAATGACACTTAATAAGTTTTTATTTTACAAGTACTGTACAGCACAACAACAGTAATATGTTCTATTAGCAATTCGATTTCAATTCGCGGGGGGCTGAAATCTTTTATGCTTAAGAATTGTAAAGTGGATTTCTTAGGAAATTCCAAGGTTGCCTTTCACTTCCGAGTAACGGGCGGAGGTATGCAGTCTCTGAGTGCCCTCTAGTTAATATTGTTTTTATGTGGATTATTGTCGAAAAAATGCGATCCACACGCCGCTATGCTATTGTTATCATGATTAATTAATTATCCGTCACGAGCACCCCATAACAGTTAAACTTCCATGAAAAGTCAGCATATTGGTATTTGAACTGACGACTGATCAGAGTGGTTTCGAAGGAAATGGCACTCTCTAGACGCTGCTATTTTGGTCCAATAGTGGGCACGGATTGGCACAGATGTTACGAGGCTTTATTTATAGGTAGTGAATCGTTACAACAATCTCTAATAACTATCAGTTCTTAATTAATGTTATGTTCGTCTTCTCGTAGTAGTTTTTCAAGAGTTCACTTTACTCTATAGTCCACTGTCCATTGAAAGATCATCCACTGAGAAATTCCACTGAGTTATTTACTGAGATCATACACTGAAAGATCATCCACTGAGAATTCATTCACTGAGAATTCATCCCCTGAGAATCCACTGAGATCATACACTGACGAATTTGGGTTGTTGCGGCCCTTTTAGACTAACGGTTGAGGGATCTTTCTACACGTGATGTAGCAAGTGGTGTGATTTGTATCCAGCCAATCAACGTTGAGGTTTAAAAGTGTGGGTTGGCGTTGCTAGCTCGTTCCAGCCCTCAAATTCTGTTTGTTTAAGGCGTTGTCGCACTGGTCGAGTTGG